ACGCTGTAGGGGATAATCCATTCTTCTCTTCCAGTTCCTTGGGGCTATAGACATTCTTCTATTTGTGGCCACATTGCTCCAATCTCTGCTTCTCTGGTTATAGCGCCTCTTTCTCCTCTCTCTGTGTTAAATCTCATTCTGCCTTACATTTATAAGGACATTGGCATTGGATTTAGAGCCCACCAGCTAATTCAGGATGATCTTCTTCATATCAAGATCCTTCACATCTGCAAAGATCCTTTTTCCAAATAAGGTAATAGTCACAGGTTCTGGGGATTAGGACATGGAATTAACTAACTTCCTTCCTTCCTTCCTTCCTTCCTTCCTTCCTTCCTTCCTTCTCTCTCTCTCTCTTTCTTTCTTTCTTTCTTTCTTTCTTTCTTTCTTTCTTTCTTTCTTTCTTTCTTTCTTTCTTTCTTTCTTTCTTTCTTTTGGAGGGGAGGAACCATTCAACTCACTGTACCCAGCTATAGATTCAAACCACCAATGAGGCTTTTTATACAAATACAGATATGGAAGCCTATTCAGACCAATGGAATTGAAATCTTTATGGCTGTGTCACCTAGACTGCATTTTGCTGTTGTTGTTGTTGTCAACTTTCCAAGTATTGTGCTGCTTAGCCTGGCTTGAGGACCAGTGATTATACAGTCCACCTCTTTATACAGGTGAGACCAGAGGCTTGGACAGGGGCCAAGACCTCCTCAAGTCACACTGCATAGGCTTGTACGCCTAGCAGGTGTTCCTCAGCCACTTCCAGTTGTGTGCAGCCCCCATCCCCTCAGGACCCTTCAGGCTTCCGGAGCACCCAGGTGGCCAGCATCTTCCCCGACTTGCTCTTAGCTAGGATCCTTATGAACTTTTTCAAGATTCAGAACAATGCCTGGCCTCAGATTTGATGGGTCTTCAAACAGGGGCCAGATCAACCTGCTGATTTGCTGCGTGACCTCAAGGAAGTCACAGAACTTCTCTTGTTCTAGTTTGCTCATCTTTAACATGGAGGATTCAGCTCATTGTGCTCTAAGGCAACTTTCATAGCAGAAATGCTATGATTTGGTAATTCTAAGCATCTGAGAATGTTTTCTTTGGCCCTCAGCCATCCCAGGATGTTTGATAAAATCTGATCATTTGGATAAGTCCCAGGAAAGGAGCAGATCAGAGCCTGCGTTGGGTGCTGGGAGCCCACCTGATGGGAGAGTGTGTGTACATGTGGTGGGGAACAGGGAGCATGGTAAAGTGTGGAGACTGAGAACTAGAAAGAATTAAAGATTATTCAACTTGTTCCAAATATAGAAACTGAGCCCCAGAGAAGGAAATGATTCGTTCAAGTTCATACAGCTAGTTAAAGGCAGAACTGGGATTAGAATTAATCCATTCCTGGGTTCTTTCCCCTACAATGAGGATGACAAATACATATCCTTTTCCGCCCTCTGATCAATTAGCAGTGGCTGCTTTGAGCACTGACTTCTGGAAGGTTCCCAGGTCCTTCAAAATTCACAAGAAGAATGCTGATTGATTAGCAATATCTGATATGGCCACAGGAAAGGAGAGTACCCAGATTTTGTCAGCCAGGACTTACCGGGACTTGTGATAGAACATAATTGCCAGTGGGGAACTTGAGGCTCCTTCTTCACAGAGAAACAACAGGTGAAAAAAAAGCAGTAAACTACATAACTCCTTCTACAGAAAACTCTTTTAAGTGCCTGGCCAAAAATTCAGAGGTGGTAGTCAATGCACGCTTAGGGAACCAGTTCAGTCAAAGTTTGCTAAGTAGCACTGGGAACAAATAGTATTGTAAACTATGAAAAGGGAAGCAGAACAAGTAAGGTAGAAACACATTGTACTATGTGCTCCAGAAGATTTTGTTGTATTTTTTAATGTTGCTCCAACTGTAATATCACTGCTTAGATGGAGACAGTGAAATTAATTGATTTACTTTCAGGAGCAAAGTTGCAAAGTTGTATGTAAAACTATACAAACATATGGACTTGCTAATTTCTCCATGCCTAGATTTAATTCTAGTCAATAATAATAACAACAATAGCTATGTCATTTAATCCTCACGACAACCTTATGAGGTAAATGTTATTATCACTGATTTACAGATGAGGAAACTGAGGTGTAGATGGACTGAGGGTCCTGTCCAAGCTCACACAATTAGTAGGTGGCAGAACTGGGATTTGAATCTAACTTGTGATTTCAACACATTCCTCTAATTAAAAGCTGGACCCAATCTGAGGCATATTTGAGAACTCACGGAAGTTACTAGAAGTGGGATATAGGCCTCTTCAGAACTGGCCTTGAAATTTCAACTCTTCTTAATACAAAAGCAACATCATGGTCTTTCCCTTGTTTTCATTTACTAGGCTCCAAATCACCAAACTTCTTTGCCTCTCTGGGAAAACTAAATGACCCACCACTTCAGAAGAATCTCATGGGGTCTGTGCATGGCTTTTCACATCCTCCCTGAAACACCAACACGCCCGGTCCGGGTTAAAGGATATCAGCACTGCCACACACTCTTCTTTTTCCCAAATTAATCAAGAAGTAGGAATTTCTGACAAATGCCATCTGCTGATTTTTCAGAGAGACAAGTTTTGGTGGTGTGACCAGCAGGTGCCTCAGCTTTTTCTAGCATGCAGTACCAAAATAGTCACCATGGCAACCCTGGGAGGGCAGACTTCCAAAGAGATGCATTGTGAGCACAGAAACTCTAGAGCACTTTCAAGCTAGAAGGAAGGAGGCTCAGCGGTGGGTTTTTAACAGTGGCAAGTAGCGCTTCTTCCCACAGCCCTGGGCTGGACCTCAGGCCCCTGCATACTGGGCACAGCCGGGCCTCCCCAACCCTGTGGCGGGTGCTTCCAGGAAAAGGGGGGAAATGGAATTTGTGGGGAGTGGCAGGCAGGTGGAGCAGACAACTCCCAGATTTCTGGCAGGAGGTAAAGTAGCACAGAGGGTGATAAAAGGTGCAGACCTGGGTTGGGAGGCAGGAGAATTAGGTTGAAATACCTGCCCTGTCGCTTGCTAATCAATGACCTTGGGCAATTGACCTTGCCTGTCTGACTCTCAGCTTCTCATTTTCGAAATGGGAGTGGTAAGCTTACACTGCCTTTTCACAGGGAAAATTGTGGATATGATAGGAAGCCTGTGAAAACTGTTGGGAAAGTGCTCAGTGGACAGTGCCAAGCAGAAGAGAACAGGGATTTGGGGATCAGGAAGCTTGGGTTCTGGACCAGGCTCTGCTGCTTTCTAATCTTATGAGCTTGAGAAAGTCATAGAGCTTGTCAGACCTACACCCTCACCTTGGAAGAAGGTTCAGAAGCCCTGCCTCACAGAGTGGATGTGCAGGTTATCTGGGTTCTTTCTGTGACTTGGGATTCTGTACTCCCCTTTGGTGCAGACACCAAGACAGGATAAACCATACAGAAGATTTTACTAGTGGAAACATCTGTGAGATAAAAATGGGGAGGGAGCTGGTAGAGGCTAGGAGAGAGGAAAGGCTGGGAGAGCCATCACACCTTGATGCAAGTTTGACCCAAGTGCAGGAGAGAGGGAAGCAAGGTTGGGTGGAAGCTCCTAGACTGCCTATAGCAAGGCCATCAGAGAGTCCTCAAGCCAAAGTCACCTATCAGAGAAGTTCCCTGTCTCTTGGAGACAGTTCTGCCTTAGTATCCCTGCCACACTCAGTGGCTGATTGTCTGGAAGCAGCCAACAGGAAGAGTGGCCTCTACATAAATATGGGTGCAAGCAGCTGGAGGCCATGATCATCTGAACTCCCTCTCCAGGAGACATATTCTCATGGCCACCACACCTACCCAATCCAGATGTCTTTTGCTTGGACGTCCACATAAGGTACTTGGCCTCAGGCCCACACCTCTACTTCAGAAGCCTTGTACTCCACATCCATGGTCCTGTTACCCAGAACATTATAGGAACTCAGGCTCAATGATATCTTAGAACACCACCCCTAGGAAAAAATTTATTTTCTACATCTTAATTAGATTATGTAGCAAAGGTGCACAGTCATTGTTCCATTCTGCATTTGAATGCACGCAGGTGTAGGAATGCATGCTTATTTGTCAGTGTGCGTGCATATGAACAGTATATTTGTATATATAGATGAGCATTTATATCTACGTGCATGCATGTTGTGAATTTACGCAACGATACCATTAGCCCATTAGCACTACATAAGCATTTGGCACACAGTATCTTTGATCTTTACAACTATCTTTGAGGTAGATAAGCAGGTAGTGTTGCAGGTACAATCCTTGTTTCCCCCAACATGCTTGCCCCAACATGCCACTCAGATAATACAAGGTAGAGCCATGGTTTGAACCAGAAATGTCTTCCTTCAAAGTTGTAGCTCTTGTCCTTTCTGCCACCCACCCCCATCCCACCTACTCATATGACTATGTGTTGCATGAAAGCACATATGTGTGCATATATAAAAAAGATTCAGATGGGGAGGGGAATATAGCTGGAGAGGTATAGATTGATTATGGATTGGTGACTGGTGAAAAGTATTTCTGCCAGAAGCCCCCACTCTCCAAAATGTAATTCTATTAGTATGTGTCATCTAAAAACACATATTGTATTCTAGCTGTAAGAATTTCTATTTAATGGGCTACAAAGACAAATTTTGGAGATTCTAAGCAATTTGAGTCTCTTATTCTTCTAGTATAATCAAAAAGTGATCCACTTTCTTGGCCTTCCCCCAAAATCCTTGCTCCCATGGCAAGTTTTTCAGCCTACCTGGTGGAAATTGTTTTGTCCTGATTGGGAAGTATTAAAGAAAAAATATCTACTCCAACACCTTAGTTTTCCAAATCACTTGTCTTTGCTTGTTTCCCAGCAGCATGAAATACTACTCTGGAGAAATAGATTTACAATCAGTTTCGATTGCCATTTATTGATCACAGGCACTACGCATACAATTTTCATAAATGATCATATTTGATTTTGATTCTCATCAAAATGATTTCTATTTAGCAATGAATAACTGAGGGTCTAATGGGTTAGGAGACTTACTCAATGTACCCTGTTAGTAAGGGGACATAACAGGAACTAGAGCTGGGCTCTGCAGAACTCATGGCCTGGCTCTTTCCACAGTATTCACATTCTCTCCAGGCAGAAGATACGATCTGCCCAAATACTTGCTTTCCAGGCCATCCACTAGCTCTGCTGTATCCTGGGAACCTGCAGGACCAGCCAAGCCCAGGACAGGGCCGCTTGGGGCCAGGGCAGGTAGACTTACCTGGAAGAGCACCAGCCTGGCTATCAGCATATCCACTTTCTTCCCATTTCCTTTTGCAGCCTCCTTCCTTGGTTCACAATGACAGTCCAACTTCTGCCAGTCCTGACTGTCATTCAAGCCTTTTTGCTATTTAAGAATTTTGAGGAAGAAAACCGTCATGTACTCAAAATCCTGGTAATCAGAAGTGTCTGGAGATTTCGAGCTGTTAACATAGAGAGGTGGCAAAAGTATTTTCTAGGACATCCTTATGGGCCTGAATGGCAGTGGGAGTCGACATAGCTGGTGCCTGGGCAGGTTTCCAAAGCACAGCCGAGGTGGAGAGTAGGTGAGGGCTGCAACAAAGGCCCCGACATCTGAAGAGCACTGCACAGTTTGTCAGAGGCTTTCAGCTCCACATTCTCACTTAGTCCTCACAGCAACCCCATGCAGTGACTGCTGTCACTCCTTTTCATGGCTGAGGAGACTGTTGGGAGAGGGAAAATGAATTGCCCACTGGCAGGCAGGTAAGAGGCAGAGCTGAAACTCTCACGTAGTTCTTTCAACTCCAGGCCCAGCATCTCAGGATTGTACCCAAGTGGCTCTCGCACCAGTATCAGGGCCAATGGCAGGGTCAGCAGAAAATAGCAGAGGGGCTTGAAAACAGATGGGAACATCTGGAAAAGGTAAGGAAGTTGTCTTAGTCACTATAACAAATACCCTGGGCTCGGTAGATGAAATCACAGAAATTTAGTTCTCATGGTTCTGGAAGCTGGGAAGTACATGTTGAGTGTGCCAGCATGGTTGGATTCTGGGGAGGGCCCTCGCTTGACATCTCCTTGCTGTGTCTTTACATGGCAGAGAGCAGAGAGAGGAAGAACACTCTTCTGTCTGTCTTTATACGGGCACTAATCCCACCATGAAGGTCCTGTCCTCATCACCTCATTACTTCCCAAAGTCTCCATCTCCAAAAACTATTACACTGGGGATTAGGGTTTCAACATAAATTTGGGAGGAATGCAAACATTCACTACATAGCAGAAGTATAGAGCCCTGGAGGCCCAGTTCATTTAGTGTAATGAATGTCACTATGCTAGGCACTGGGGATATGGCCTGAACAAGGTCATCCAGACCCTTCCCTAAGAAGTTAGACTCCAGTGGGGAGACCAGTGGATAAACAGGCAACTCCAACACAGAGGAACAAGCATTCTGGTGATGGAGGGACATGCAGGCTCTGTTGGTGGGTAGGGGAGGGCACCACACCCAGATGCAGTACTGCACCTCTTGATTCATTTTCCAAATATACAAAAATGACTTAGGGTTTGCAGAAGGAGTGAAAAAAAAAAACCTGAAAGGTAGTTGCTGTGGGAGGAGAGATCCAAGAAGGCTTCCCAGAATAGGTGGGCAGTCTCCTGGAACGGGGGCCCTGAAGTGTGGGTAGAATCCTGATGTGCAGAGACTTGGAAGAGAAGTATTGTAGCCCAAAGAAACAGCATGGTCCCTGCAGAGGTATGAAAGGGAAGATTTCTGGGGGTAATCACCCACCTTCAGAGCCTGTGTAGGCACCACATAGGGTAGGGTAGCAGGAGACACAGCTGGAAAAGCAGATGGGGGTCATGTCCGGCCTTCCAAGGTTTGGACTTTATCTTACAGGCAGTGGGGAGCTGTCGGGAGCATTTTGAGTGGGGCAGTGACACTGCTGGCTCTGCATTTTGGAAAGGTGCTTTTCAGGGCAGTTTGGATGATGCTGGGGAGTGGCTGACAGGTTGAAGATCAGTCCTGAGGAGCAGGTCGGTGAAACATGATAGGGGCATTAGCATTCAATCCAGGGGTGTGAGCAGCGAGGTGGTCACCCAGGCTGGCTTGAGGAGCAGCATAAGCACACAAGCCCCAATCATATCTGAGGAGAAGTGCAGATCCACCTGGAGGAGCTAGGTTTGCCTTACATCCAAGAGGCAAGCTCAAGGCTAGTGATGAGCCAGAGGGCAGGGGCAGAGCAGATGAAGGGACTCTATGAGAGTGCAGGGCCAGGGTGGGACGCCGGGGGTGGGGTGTGAGGGCTATTGCTGGAAAGGGCCACAGGGCCTACATTGAATGTGAGTGTGCATGAGTGCATGTATGCATGTTGGGCTGTATGTGTGGACAGTGAAGGATGCATGGACATGTCCCGGGCTGGGAGGAGAGGCCACTGGGTTACAAGGGTGACAGACCAGGGAATAATGAGGGCCCCCAAAGGCCTGGAGGGGAGACACACCGGCAGGAGCAGGTCTTAACACCCACATGGGCACTCAACCCTTTGCCATCTCTGTAGCTGTAGAAAGCAGAGCGGTGAGCTTCCCAGAACAGTTTTGTTCCCTTGGTCATGCATCATACTGGAAGGCAGTGCCTGCAGCATCTCCCAGCTGTCCAGCTCAGGAGTCCAGCCACCGTACCCCATGCACCTACTTAGCACGTGATACCAGACACAGACATGAAAACCCAGTCTTAAAAAAAAAAAAAAAAAAAACTTGAATCAAACTCCTTTCTGGCACTTTCCACTGATTTTCTAGACATTTGTCCTCTGTACTCAGGGCTGAGGAAACCGGCTTGCCTGCAGGCTGGTCGTTCCAGGGGGTTCCTTTGAAAACTTCCTGCAGTGTCCAGGAGCGAGCAGCCTGCTGCACACAGGGCGCAATGCCTGCTGAAATCCCACTTGAAAGTGAGCGGCATCGCCGAGACAAGCCTAGATCCTTTTCAGCACAGCGATTCCTTCCTTCCTCCCTTCCTCCCACAGCTCGGCTAGAGTTTTCTGCCCAGAGGAACTCTGTGAGAGCGTTTCAGAGTCATTCGGGCCGCTTGCCCCCAACAGGGCGACGCTGGCTGGCTGACCCCCCTCCTGCTGGGGGGTACTGTACCCACGGCCCGGGGCTTCTCTATTCCTCTCCTCCCCTCCCGCTGCTGACGCACGCTTCCTATAATAAGCCTCTGTTACTTGGAGCAGGGGCGGCTCCGTAGTAAGCCGAAACCGCTACTATATTTACACCCTTTCCACATTTAGACAAAGGCTATTTTTAACAGAAGGTCTATTTGTGGGGGTTGCCCACGTCACACTGTTCACATGCATCTCACCATCCTCAGTCTGTTCTTCTGATTTCACACTTGTACCGGGCCTCTCTCCTCTCTCTCTCCTTCTCTCCATCATTTTTCTTTCGTTTCTTTCTTCCTTTCTCCAATTTCCTTCCTTCCTTTAATCAGATTGAGGTCTTTGGCAGGCTATATTGCCAGAGTCCTTCAGGGGACGGCGAGGCTCTGTCCTCATGGAGCAGAGTGGGCAGTGCGGCCACTTGCTGGGCTGTGAACTGTTCTTGGCACCTACTGTGGGGACCAGCAGAGATCCCAGTCCCCAGGGCTCCATATTGGCCCGCTCTGCCTCCAAGTTTTTGTAAGCAGGATGCTGGGACCATGACAGCCTGGCCTTGTCTCCTCATCCCAATCTAGTTTTATTGGTGGGAGGGAAGGGTGTGTGTGTGTGTGTGTGTGTGTGTGTGTGTGTGTGTGTTGGGGGAGGGGTAGTGAGCAAGGTCAGAGGAAAATAAGCCAATGGGGTCATCATTCATGCAGAACACCTTTTCAACTTAAAAGTTAGTTTTATCAGATTTGTCTTAGATGACACAATTTTTGTTTGGGTGAAAGGAAGTTTCATATTTCCTACACGCATAATCCACTTATGAAAAGGAGGGGGGATGCACGGAGTTAGCACATATTAAGTACCTGCTGTAGTCAAGCCCTATTGGGCACCAGGGACATCTGGACCCTGAGAATGGAGTGAAGGGGTGGTCCTGCCTGCACCAGGTTTCAGATGAGGAGGTTGAGGCCCGCAGAGATCTGGGACGCCTAAATTCACTTAGCTGGTAAGTGGCTGTGCTAGGACTTAAATCTATGTGTCTGGCTACAGACTGTGTGCTGGCCCCAAATCTCAGACCTCCCCCATTGTTACCTTTTCAGCTCTCTAAAAAATCAGCGGTCTTCATTAACACTCTTTCTGTTATTTTCTTTCCCTAGTTCTGCTCCTCTCCTCACCCCCCACCCCAATGAGAAGAGACCTTTCCCACCTCAGAACCCCATCTACACTTCTTTGGTCTACTTCTTCAGATGATGAATCATCTGAAACACAGACATGTCAGAATCTAAAAAGGACAACAGAAAAGGTCTTGCGGGCACTAAAGGGTCCCAGAGAAACCCCATGTTGTCAAATCTTACGTTTTTCCCCAGCAGTCAATTTGAATTGTAGCTTCTGAGTGAAATATTGTTACTGCATTTCTGAGAGAGGAGAGCTGAGATTTGAATCCGCCTCAGACTGTGCTGGAAACAGAATACAGAGCCCATCACAGGATGTCCTGCCCTCTGTAGCCTCGTTTCTGAAAGTATCATTAAACATGTGGGAACCAAATGCCCCCTGAGTCCCCATATTCAAGCCTTTAAAATTGCAGATTCTGGTTCGGACATTTCCTAGAGACTCTGATAAGAGATTATTGTCTTCTTGGTGTCCTAGTGTCAGGGGTTCTGAGCCCAGGAGTCTAGCAGCTGTAACATGAGGCCAAGTCACATTCATCTCTAAAATAGAGATAGTAATGTCCCTTGCCCACTCACCCACTTCACAATTTACAGAGATGTTGCAGTGAGACAATGCATGTGAGCGTGCTGCTGTGAAAGCTGGCAAACACGACAAGACTGCTAGTCGCTAGTGCTGATGTTTTCATCCTTAGTGAGGATGTGAGAGAGGGCTCAGGAAGGCCAGGTGACATGTACAAGGTCACACAGCAAGTAAGTGGTTGAAATAAAGGCACAATAGCCCTGTGTCCCTCAGCAACGGGCTGAAAAGAAATTACAGAGCCAGTGGAAAGGCTCGGGTGCTGAGCTTTAGCAACGCTAGGCTGAGCTCAGTCCAGAAATGGGGACACTGATTTGGGACGAATCCCATCACTCTCCCCAGCTGACCCTCCCTGCACCTTGGTCCCAGTGGCTTCTCAGGCTTCTCTACAGCATGGGTGTCCTGCCTTGGCCAGAGCCGAAATCCCAGAGCGGTGAAAGAGGAGCCAGTGTCATGGGGCTTCTGGTTTCAGGACACACTGGAAAGGTGAGAAGGAAGCTTGTCTTCCCATGGATCTGGGCCAGGCCTGGGTGGCGGGGCCTCCCCGCCAGGAGCTGGGACGTTCCCTAGGTGCCCGGGCATCCCCGGGTCAGGAGGGCCACCAGCAGTTTTTCAAAGCATTAGCTTGGTCAGAAAATAAATCATTCAGCACTTTGCGGAGACCAAATGCTTTGTCAATGCAGGCAAAACCTGCCCCAGAATCTGCAGCCTGGGAAGGCCTTGTGCTCACCTGGCTTAGGGGCCAGTTTGGGGAAAAGAGGCCCCTGCTCTTTGTACCTGCTTACTGGAGGAGTTGATGAGAAAACCTACACACCTTGACCTCCATGACTCTGACCTTCACATCTTGGCCACGCCCTTCTCACCACTACTACCCATCAGCCACCAGCCACCAGCCACCAGCCACCACTCTACCTCTCTACCCCAACCCTCATCAGACTTTCACCTGCTTTCAAGGCTCAAGTGTTGCTCCCTATGTGAAATCTTGTCTGGCCCTCTTTCTCCCAGTCAGGAATAATTTACCCCCGCTCCCTTCTCTGTGCCCTTAGTGTTCTCTGTGAATGTGGTAGCGGTCTCAGACCAGTCTGTGCTGGAATTATCCTGGCACCTAGGCTGCAATCAGAGGAGACATGCGGTTCATCCATGGAATTTGAGTCAGGCTTAGTTTTCACCTCTTCTGAGGGTGGAGCAGAGCCTCTGGGCTGGAGAGATACAAACAGTGTAGAAGATGCTATGGTGTCCCACCAGCTCCCCTTTTAAGGACCAATGCACACTCCCTGCCCCCAGCTGCTGAATGTCACCCGTTTGCCTGCTAATGACTCACAGATGCCCCCCTTCTCACAGATGAGAATGGCTCTCAGAAGACAGAACCTGCATCTCCACGAGGTTACAACTTTCTCCCCATACCTGCTCCCCAATCACCGCCACCACAGGCAAAGACTAAGTGACACAGAAATGCAAAAGGGTAGTCCCCTCCCCTCAGGAAGGGACATCTCTGCAGTATGCTTTAGGCTCCAGAGTCAGTCCACTTCTATCCCCTCTCCAAGGATCAGCCCAAGGCTGGCTTTCCCTGAAATCACAGTTTAGGATGAGCAGCCTGAATTTCAGTTTTACACTGAAATTCCCATGTCCCATCAGTTTTGGGCAAATGGGGCTGATCGACTAGCTTAGACTGGGTTACCAGATTTAGCAAATAAAAATACAAGATACCCAGATATATTTGCATTTCAAATAAACAAAGGATACGTTTTGAGTATAAGCAGGCTTCATGCAAGACTTGCAACATACTTATAATGAGAAATTACTCATTGTTCATCTGAAATGCAAATTGACCTGGGCAGCCTATGTTTTATCTGGTAGCCTGACCCTTGACCTCACCTGTGTTTGTCTCTCCCTGCTCCTATCCTGCTTCCTTTCCTCTCTCCCTTGCAGGTTTTTCCTGAAGAGCACTCCCCTAGTAAATCACGTGTACCTAAATCCCTGCCTCAGGTTCTGCTTCTAGGGAATCTGACGTAAGACTGTCATTAGTCCCTCTCTGCTGCCTAAGGTGACCAGAGAAGTCCTTTCATTTCCCCTGAACCTTGCAGAACCTTTCTTTTTGTTCAAACTTCACCTGGTCCATCTTGGCTAGAGTGGGGGAAATCATGACACTAGTTGTCACCAGCTGAGGTCCTCCAGGTCCTCACAACAGCCCTGAGTGGTGGCTACAATTCTTAGATCCATTTTTAGATGAGAAGACTGAGGCAAGAGAGATGCAATAGCTTACCTGGCCTCACAGAAAGTGGCAGTGCCTCAATACAGAACCATATTTCCTGCCTCTTAGACTCTTGCTTCATCAGTGCCTCCCAGGGAATCCAGGAGAGACACAAGAGCAAGGCTTTAGCTTTGCTGATCCACCCCCACCCCCAACCCCTGCAGCATTCGGACTTCAAGTTTTTACCTTGTCTCTTGGCACTGGAAGGATGGGGCAATTCTAGGTACGCTCTCTGGGTGACCCAGGGAGCTAGCCACTAACTTCACATTTGTGCAGAACTGGTTTCCCAGAAACCACAGGAAAATGGGGGTATCCAGAAATCCATGTGGTCACAGCCCCCTTTAGGAAGACTCTATTTTCATTCATCCATGACAGAACTAGGTTCGTGGCTTAGGGTCTGAGCCTTGATTTAACCATGAACATGAGAACTAGATTGACCTCTGGGGGATCATCCAGCTATGGCCCAGTGAGATTTGAAGTTTCCATAGACCTGACATTCATGTTAAGTACTTAACCTGGTACCTGGCACAAGGTAGAGCTCACCTAACAGTGGCTGTAAGTAGTAGTATTTCCCATAAGCAATAGTAATAAGAACATCTGATTCCCCAGATAACACGAGAGTGATAAGAATATGTCCTACAGGGCACTCAACTAAACAGACTTCAGCTCAAAGCCATCCAAAGATGGAATGAGTCGCCTCAGAGGGCAGTGAGCTTTCTGTCATTTCACAGGGAGGAAAAGGGAGGGAATCTGTTTATCTACCTACCAGTGGGAGATAATTTCCATCCATTATGTCTTTTAATCAAATGCTGAGATGTTCCAGAAAAGGCTGGATGGTGTGCCAGAAAAGTCTTGTGATGGTGTGCCAGCTTCTGAGGGACTGAACAAGAATGATGCAGAGGTCCCCTTTGACCTGAGACTCCAGGAGTCTCTGAAAATGCTGACATCCCACATTTATGGTAAGACCAGTGGCCACTCTCGTGTCCAGAAATCTGGAATATGGTTCCAGAATAATGTCACAGGCACCAGCCCTACGCTTTTCAGAACTGTCCACACACTCAAACCAATTAGAGACCCGGCTTGTGCCCCTGAGTTGGGGGGTGCGGAGTGGACACTGACCTATGGGCCCTCAAAATCCTCCTGACCTACAAGTTCCCCAGCATAGGAGACTGCACCAGGCCCACTTTCTTCTTGCCTGTCACCACACTGTGCCTCCCCTCTTCTTGAGCAGCTCGGCTCAGCCACGGACTGAGTCAGGCATGCTCAGTTGCCAGCCCTACAGCTGCCCGGCTGAAGGAACTGACTTTCTGCTCCCTCTCCCACAGCTGTCAAAAGGATACCCCAGAGTCTCCATTACACACAGACACACACACGCGTGCGCACACACACACACATGCCCTTATGGAATATTTGCCCACAATCACAAAATCACAGGGCTGAAAGAGACAGCAAGAACCTAGCAGATTCGTTAAGTCCAGGCCTGCCAAGAAATCCCCTACCAGAAGCCTCTGTCCACACACCTTCACAGTGGAGAGCTTGCCCCCAGCTGGTGTCACCCTTCCCAGCATTTAACTCCTCGGCCATTAGAAGGTGCTTCTCGTATCCAGGCGCCAGGCATCCAGGTATCCAGGTGACTTCTTCTGGCTTCCTCTCATTGGTCCTAGTGTTTTCAGGGATGGCACGAGAGTCCAATCTTGTTGGAAGGTGGTGTACAAAGAGGTGCAGGAAGACACATGGGAGGAAGTAGTGAGAGATGAAGTCAGAGGTAGTGAGAAACGTCAGAGAGAGAATTAGCAGGGATGTGCACAATCTAAAAGGGACCTGTATCCTGCATGCTGACAATTTTTCCATTATGTTTTTTTTTTTTTAATTCTGTTGCTCTTCAGCTGCATGGAAAACATGTCCACCCCAAATAACTTACTCTCTGAGAACTGCAGAAAAAACGAGAGTATTGTATTACCTATTGCACTGATGAGAAAAGGGTGATCAGGAAGGGAGAAGATCAAAACTGTACCAAATGGAAAAGAGTTGAAAGAACTGGGTCTCTAGCCAGAAGAAGGGATTTGGCTGGTAAAGTGGTTGCCTCTGACAATCCTTCCTGGGGAAAAAAGATTGGACCAATTCTAAACAGAATAAAGAATTGGACTTAGGACCAAAGGGTAAACCACCAGAGTGACCGAAAGCTTTCCACTAGACAGAACTGTCTAGCAGTTGTTAAGATAGTGAGAAGTCCCTGTCACTGAAGGTGTCCAAGGCGTGGGTGCACTTGATGTTTTATGTCTGACAGTTCATGACTTTTCTTTTAATGCATATGCACATCACCACCACCACCCCCAGCACGCACACACACACACACACACACATACACACACAGAAACCTGGCCGTATAAAGCCAGGTGAGGCACACCAATGTGGGGTGTGCATCTCTCACTTGGCTTAGCTTTGATCCCCCAGAGATTTTCCCATTGCAGACTTGGTTGTCAGCAAGAAATAAAAGCCTTTCCTCTCTCCTTGGGAGGAGCGGAGCAGATTGTCTGGATCTGCTGCGTACTGCCCTGGCTCTGGTCTCAGCACCAAACGCGTTCCTTCTGCTCAGTCTGTTCCCGTTTTGACAATGCAGAGGGGAGAGCTGGAGAAAGTCCCACAGCCTAGAGTCCTGGCATTGGAGGGCGGGGCTTTGCTGTTGGACCGGACAGATCACATTTGCATTCAAGAAAGACTAGGTGGAGCCCCTTGCTCCCAACACAGGCAGAAAGTTTAGCTGGGATTGGCGCCCATCCTCAGGCATCTTTTGAAGAGAAAGTGCTATCTGCTGCCGTCCTTTCGGTGTTTTCTCAAGGGCAGAGCCTGAAAAAGGTTTTCGCAGGAGGAAACTTCTCTAAACCTCTCTAGCATCCTGGAGATTAAAATAAGTTATTTTTTCTCTGCAAAAGAGACAAGGTGCTCTGCTACCGGAGGGTGGAGTACTGGACCCTTTGCGTGATTAAGATCCAGAAAATATGCTTTTTGCCTACAGCATTGTATGTCCCATTACCAGCCAGTAGTGATCCATGAAGCAATGTTACTCAAGGAGGATGCACTAAGCACCCACTCTGTGCTAGGCCATGCCTCCCAGGCACTGGGGAGCAGAGGTGAGAAAGATCCAGGATTTACCTTCAAGAAGCTTATAGTCCAGTGGGGGAGACCATCCCAAGCAAAAAAATAAAATCCATGCACTTAGGGCTCCAGGAGAACTTTGCTGTGAGTGCACTAGCTATCTGGGAGCATCTGGGACAGCGTCTGCAAGGAAGGGATGCTTGGGATGAGTTTTCAAGGACACACAGGATTTTATGAAGTGGCAAAGGGCAGCAGTGGGAAGGGATCTTGCATGCAAAATTCTGGGAAAGATGTGGAAAAGCTTTGTTTATTTAAGGAACTATGAGAACTTTGACATGACCAGAGGAGCTACCATGCAGGCAGGGAAGTGCAAAGGATGAATCTAGAGCAGAGGTTTTAACCAGGGACAATTTTGTACCCCAGGGACACTTGTTTGTCACAAAGAGAGGAACAGCAGTACTACTGGCATCTACAGGGTAGAGGCCAGGAATGCTGCTAAACATCCTACCATACCACCATGTGGACAGCCCCCACAACACCGTGATCTGGTCCACAATGTCAATACTGCTGAGACAGAGAAACCCTGAGCATGGTAGTGTGTTAGGAGTATCCCTGGCCTCTCTCCCCACTACAGAGAAGGAGCAGCCACACCACGAAAAAATGGAGCTCTGTTAGGGGCACTGTGCTTTCTGAGGGTCACACAGAGAAGGCATCCAGGGGAAGGAAGCCAGGGGAGTGCTGAGCTTTCAGATTCTGCAATCTAGAGTCCTCCATACCTGTGTTTCAGCTAGCCCTCCCAGCTTTATTTTCTGTACATACCTGATAAGCCTACATCCAGTATCTGCCTCCAAATTGTTGACAAAAATATTAAATAGAAAAATTTCAGGGCAAATAATGACTTAGATTCATATAATGCTATTCAGTTTATGGGGCATTTTGCATCCTTCATCTCATTTATATTCATTTTACAAAACAGAAAAATGAAGCTGCGAGATGTTCTGCAATCTAGGAATTATTTAACTATAACACATTCAGCTCCCATCTCTTCTCGTAGGGTGGTCCCTGAGTGCTCCAAGGACCCCTGCATCTGGCCACAGGGGATGCTGGGAGTATCCTCCATCCTGGCCTAAAAGGGCTCCCTTTCATCTTCCTGGATTTATATCTTGTGTGAATGGCTAAGGGCAGGTTCCCTGGTCTCCCTCTGCCCCTAGCTGCGACACTCACATACCGTTCTGACTACAGGGGACTCTCTCCCTCCCTGAGGCTGAGTTGGTAAGAGGACCTCTCATGGATAGCAGGCAGGGACAGCTGCTCAGCTCATGTTCTCTGGCCAAGAAGCATTACTGACCCTGTGATTTGGCCCTTCATCCAAACTGGCAGATGGGTACAGGTGCCTTGCCGTGATGCTGCTTCCCCTCGACCAAGCATGCCTGACCATTAAATCACCCAGTGGAGGACAGCACCAGTCAGCTGAGGGGTGGGCTGTTTCCAAGTGGAACCCCAAAATACTGCTAATCTGAAATGTCACTGTTCTCAGGGACAGCACAAACAAACCACGCCAAGTCACACACTGCAGAAACACTCTCAATAATCAACACTAGGTGTTCTAACAGTTTGTTCAAGCCTGTTCATCTGTGGTTTAGAAGTTTATAACATGACAATCTTTTACCCTAATAGCTTTCTGGGAACTGATTGCCCATATTCCCCGTATTCCCAAAGCCATCGCCAGCTCCCAGCTTTATCATTCAGGAAAAAGAGCAAGCGCCTCCCCTTCATCCTCCTTATCTCCCACAATCACTAAGTACAAGCCCAAGGAGAAGAATCAAGGGCAGTGAACCTTCATCAAACAATAAAATCCTGCCTGGTGCCAGGCCTACCTGTGCCTTCCAAGCACTGCCTGCCCTGTCCCTCCATTAAACATCTTACCATTGCAGCCGGTGGCTCCCAGGGCACTGTCCTTTCCATGTCTCCTCCTCCCACCAGCACGGCCCAGCGGCTCTCTCCTGCTGCTCTGGCTCCATCCCTCTCCAATAACATTGCTCCTTCTCTGGCAGCGTCCAGCCACTTTGTCACAAGCTACATCTGTGGAGAACACCGACCCTGGCTGCAGGGTGAGACAGCTAAGAGGATAAGAGGGGGCAGGAGCAGACAGAGAAAGAAGGTGGCAAGACAGAGTAGGTGAGAGAAAGTGGTGGCTAAGTCTAGGGTGCTGATTATGGAGTAAAGGGAAAAGGAGGCATGAAAGCTGAGCTCGTGTTGAAAAGAATGTCAAAGGGAGCTCAAGCACTGGGTGGGGTGAGGGCAGAAGAGAGGTCCTTTCCAACCCTGGGGCCTTTAAGCAGTACAAGGGCTCCCCTGGCTTGGAGCCATGCCATGCCTCTGATCCTAGGGAGTAAGAATGTCTTTTGGGGGATGCAGGGCAGCAGCACCCATTTCTCCATGAGCCATGTGCTTGCATCTTCCAGTGGGATACTCTCCAGGGTCATCTGGGTCCTCTTGTCTTGTGCTTGTTCATCACCTGAGCATGATTCTCGCCTGCTCAGCAGGGTGGTAGGGGGTCGTGAGCTCACAGCCCAGAAGTTTGACCCCTGTGGGGCCTCGGCATCGGTCCCTGGGACTCTGTGGCAGTGAGGCAGCCACATGGTGTCAAGTGGCTGCTCTGTGTGAGGGGATTTCTAAAAATACATCTGTCCTGCTGCTCACAGGGCTCACGAGTGCCAGGCAGACGGGACAGGCATGTGCAACCTGCTCCCTCCTCACTGTCCCCACCACCTCCCTTCTAGTTCGGGTTGCCGCCTCTTCTCACCCAGACTATTCCACCAGCCACCTGCCTGCTCTCCCTCTCCCCATGGCCCACCAGGTATTATACTTACTGAAAACACAGAATCCTGTTGGGAGACCACACCTCAGCTAAAGCCTATTCTGTCGTTCATTCGCTCACTCATTCATTCAATCCTCAGCATGCACATTTACATTTAACATGCCAATGTGGCATGCTTTTTTGACACCAGGCTTGTGGCAGATGCTACAGATTGGATGAGCGAAGCCAGACACAAAAGGATGTAGTATATGAATCCATGTGTGCAATGCTCAGGAATAGGCAGATCTAATCTGCAGCAATGGAAGTCACAAGACTGATGACTTCTTGGAGGTGGCACGTAGCTATTGACTGAGGAAGGGCAGGGTGGACTCTCTGGGGTCTGGCTGCTCTATATTGTGATCTGAGTGATGGTCTCAAGGGTATAACAAATTAAAAATGTACTGAGCTGCACACTTGAGAACTGTGCCTTTTACTGTAGTATGTTAGAACTTGATAATTTTAAAAATGTATATAAAACATAATTCTGGTTTTGCTTTTTGGAGCTATACACATATCCATGACTCAAGAATCGAGGAGAAAACTATCAATACTCTAACAGTGCTTGTCTCTGACTGGTAAGATTATGGTAAACTTAATTTCCTTGTTGATACTTTTCTGGATTTCCCAAATATTCTACACTGAATAGATCTTGCTTAAGTAATGAGAGTAAATATATTAAATGTTATTTTAAAAGTAAAAACCCTCGAGGTGAGACAATCAGCAAGCACGAGGCAGGTGGCTGTCTTCCCAGAGGGGCCAAGCCCACTCACGAGCTTTTGTCCTCTTAGGCAGCAAAAGGACACCAGCTTAGAGTCATGCTCCAGGTCTGTGAGATTTCAGTGCAGCTAAATAAAGCTCTTGGCCCGCTGTGGGTGGTGAGGTGGGGCTGCCGGTGGAACCCTCGGGGTTTTCCTCTCATTCCTGAGGGGAAGGAGGTTCCAGGGCTTTCAGAGCCTTGCCAGGCCCATTCTCACCCTGGCAGCTGTTTAGACTAGCCTGACTCAGAGTCCTGTGCAGTTCTAACCTCTTAGGCTTGGGACTGTGAGCCCCAGCCTGCCTGGAGTTCTCTCTTATGGAGGGGGGATAATTTCAGGACCCCTATCACATCCCTTCAGCAGGAAGGACCTGCCAGTGTATGCAGTCTGGGGGCACAGAAAGATAAAGTGAGCTGATGGTGCAAATAAAAAAAAAAAAAATACATATATATATATATATAGAACCCTGGAAACTCTAAGGAAGGAAGAAAATGGAGCATGGAAGAATCACTCTGGTTTTCCACCAGGAAATGGGGCTGTTGTGAGATTACCACATGAATAAGCATGTAGAAAATGCTGGAATGGGGGCTCGTTTTGTGTTCTGGTTTTGGTGACGCTTTGGGACATGAAGACCGGCTGCATAGCTGGCATCCTGGCCTCCTACTCCAATTCCAGTGCCCCGCTCTCTTACTCTCTTGGCTACCACAGCCCGGACACGGCAAGGACAGGATAGATTTTTCCGTATGTGTGTCTGAAGCCTGATTTCTGCATTGGCAAAGCTATTGTGGTCATGTGATGAGGATCAGCTTGTGATTCACAAATGTATTTTGTATTTCTAGCTTGGATCCTAAAAACACTTCCCTCTTCCCTCCCACCTCCTTCTCTGCCCACAACACGAAGGCTCCCACAGAGATGTCATGTGAAGGCTTCTCAGGCTGAGCCAAGGGAAGAGCCAGTGGCCAGCTCTGCCCTGTGACACACACAGCCTCCAGGAGTCACAGGGTCTCCAGCTGCCACTACCTGCCCTGTGTCCCTGGTCTGCTGCCCTCTCCTTGGCAGGCTTCCTGAGCTAATGCTTCCCTCCAGGCCGCAGCATAGCAGACAGTGGGACTGACGGACAGAGGGTACAGGGCCAACAGGCTTGGACAGTTCTCTTCCCAGCTGACTGTGGGGTGGGAACCCAACCGGGAGGCTCCCGGACACTACATGGTGTGCCCTGCGGGAGACGAGGTGCCTTACTGACCCGATCCAGAGGTAGACAGAGCTGTTGGCAGCTGCTTCCCCACAGCCAGCCCCAGCTCCACGAGCAGGGAGCCTGAGCCACAGGTGCTGAAATAAGGCAGTGCAGGGAGCCAATGGCAGCATCCAGTGTGCTTCATGGAAAGGTTGGAAGCAGGACTTTGCCAGGCCTTGGAGAGAGGGAAGAGGACAAATACAGGAGGCATCATCTGTGTACATATTCACAAAAAAAAGACAAACAAATCAGGGGTTCTCAATCAGGAGCTGTTTTGCCACTCAGGGGACATTTGGTAACATTTGAAGACATTGTTGATTGTGGAAACTGGGGAAGCGCTGCTGGAATCTAGTGAATAGAGGCTAAGGATGCTGTTGCTGAACAGCCTCTGATGCACAGGACAGCCCCCACTCCCGACAAAGAATAATCCAGCTTCAAATAATAGTGTTGCTGTTGAGAAACCCTGATCTAGACAGAAAGCGACCTTGCTAGGGAAGGTTTGAGCAGGACCCCATGAATAAACCCAACAGAGTGAGCTGCAGCTGTGAGTTCCAAGCTTGGAACCTTCTGTGCCTATTTAGTGCCCTCAAATTTGAGCCCACACCCTTGGGCATAGGCACTAAGACTTCCTTTCATGATCTAGCCCTGGCTTACCCTTCAGCCGCATCTCCCACTGAGCTTTGGTCATACCAGACCATCAACATCCCAGATACTGCAAGGTCCTTGCCCTTGAGGAAGGAGATTCCATACCCTGTCTGGAATGCTCTCCTTCCACTTCTGTCTGACAGATACTCACTCCCCGCTCCCTGTTCTGAGTCCAGCTGTGGCATATTTGAGAAGCCTCCTTTCATTGTTATCCTGCATCTTCCTTGTTCCTGGGGTAACACACAGCCCCTCTTCCATAGAACATCACACAGGACAGATGCTGGGATGGCTGACTTGTGTATCTGTCTCTCCCGCCAGACTGTGGGTTCCCTCAATGGGTGAACATGAACAGTAGAAGTCACCGGTTTCTCCTGATAGTGTGTAGATGGGCAGATCTGGCCTCGATGGCAGAAGATACTTGGGGAACTGGAGAAAGTACAGAGGGAGATGTGAAGTTAACTGGGTCATCAAAAGAAGATGGGTGTACCACAACTTGTTTCTCCACCTGCTGCCCATGAACACTTGGATGGTTTCCAGTTTTGGGCTACTACAAACAAAGTTGTCATGAACATTTGCATACAAATCTTTGTGTAGACATATGTTTTTATTTTTCTTGGGTTAAATGCCTAGTAGTTGAATGGCTGGGTCATATGATCAATTTATGTTTTTAAGAAACTTTTTAAGAAACTACCAAACTTTTTTCCAAAGTCATTGTACCATTTCACACTCCCACCAGCCGTGTACAAGAGTTCTGGTTCCTCTGTATCTTCACCAACACTAGGTTTGGTCCATCTTTTTAATTCTAGCCATTTTAGTGGGTATGTAGTGGTATCTTAATATGGTTGTAATTTGTATTTCCCTAGTGACTGATGATGTTGAACATCTTTTCCTGTGCTTATTTACCATTCATATATTTTCATTGGTAAAATATATATTCAAAGATAGAGTTTTGAAAATTATGAATATGGTCTTTGGAATCCATCAGACCTAGTTTGACTTTCTAGCTTGACCATTTACTGTGAAATTTAGGATAAGTGGCTTATCCTTGCTGAACTTCATCTTCCTCTTGTGTAAAATGAGGATAAAAGAACCCAATAAGGTTAGAGTGAGGATCAAATACTAAATGCCTTTAAAGTACTTAACCCAAGGCCTAGCATATAAAACATAATAAACGTTATTAATAATTATTATAACATTCTCCCTCAGTCCAATTGGAATTATAACAAGCAAGACCCCTGGCGTACCTCAGAAACTAATCTCTGCAGGAATTAAATGGTGTTTTATTTCCAGTACAGTAGATATACATAAATTTTTTTTATCCTTAGGTGTTGGAAGTATGGAATTTCGTACCAGTCTATTATGTCACAGCAGAAAGAGTCTTTAGAGATATCTAAACCAAGGCCATGCCTTAGCCCAGGTCCTCCAGAAATAAGAGCCTGAGGCAAGAATTACAATGCTGGGACTTTATTTGAGAGGTGCAAACCTAGGGTTCTTAGGGTGAGGAAAAAATCAGGAAGGGAGACAGGAAGATTTGGAGGTTGTTGTGCAAGTTTCCGCTACACAAAAAAATTGCCAAAGAGACACAGTAGGTCTCTTGACAGAAGTGCTTGTTCAGCACCCAGAAATTCCCTGGAAGGCTTACAAAGAGCAAGCACACTTCCCAGAAGCCCAAGGAGGGAAAAAGCAGAGGATG